GAAGTTACTGCCACTAAGAAATTTAAAAACATAAATACCAAAAATCCAATAACATAATGGTCAATGGAAGTTTAAAAAGCAAAAGAAACTCAATAGCATCAAAAATATGACATAAAGCACTTAAAAAAATACAGAAAGACCAAAAGAACCTGTGCTTCTAATATTCTTCAGGAGACATTTTGCAGATATGTGTCAGTGATAGAGGACAACTAGCCTGGGAAAGACAAGCAAAGAAATCAGTTAGAGGATTGTCCAAAACAAGTTTTTTTTTCTTAGTGTTAGCATTTATGCTCTCGTGTTGAATTTTAACCCCTTTTTAAGCAGAGTTTTAAAATGATGTATATAACTATATGCCTACTTTATCCAAAACACCACACCTTCCAAGGTAGTCTATATTATTTGGCATTATGTATGACCACTCCTCCTGAAAATGCCTTTCCTAATTCTGACTTTATTTCAGTTCTAACTATTTGAAAACTCCCTGCCTTCTTCCCTTCCATGTTATGCTTTTCAATATGAGTACTCCTCAAGATAGGGTCTCTGGATCTTCATTATTTATATATGCATCCAGCTATCAATTCACTCTTTCTATAAAAAGGTATCAAGTGTCTACCCTTGGTCAATCTCTGTGCCAGACTCTAGGGATACCTGATAATTGAAACACATGTGGTGCTCCTTGACCTCAAATATCACCTCCTCTCAAAAGTCTTCCCTGACCACTCTAAGAAAAGTTATAATCTCTTTTGTCTTCTCATAGCATTTATATGGGTAACTCATATGGTATATATAGCATTCTACCAAAAAAGGAAAATTCTCTAGCTAATATCTTCTCTCAAGATTGGGGAGGGTATTTCCCAAGCAAATCCTTCAAACCCAGAATTCAAATTTTTGTCATTTTATTTGACAAAGTAAAAGTTGCACTAGACAAAGTTAAACAGCCAAGGAAGACTTTATTGAAGACTATTGCAATAATGGAGAGAAAGTGAACTCAATTTCAATGAAACCAAATGCAGGAAGGTTCTTAGCGTCTGGTGTGATCAAATAGAAAAGCATGGGGGGATGACAAGGGGTGAGAGGAGTTTGATCACCAAGCTACCTTGAGCACAGCAAGTTATCCCAGAGTTTGCCAGTGCTTTCCTCTGTGATTAGGCCATCTGTATTTGATTACTGGCACCCACTGAAGTTAGGCTTTTAGCCTCTCACAGAGACTGAGCGACAGGAGTGTTATGTCCTTTGAAATGTATATTTCAAAGGGATGGTTCTCAGGTCCTTGAGAAAGACATTTCTGGTAATACTGAGGAGAGGCTGGGAGGAGATTTACATATATTTCAAAGGAACAGAGAAAGAATTTATAATTGTAAGTTTTCTAAAGTAAATTCAGTAAGAAAAGTGAGGTCAGGGGCCTCTAGTCTGGAAGAAATCCATCTGAAGTTTAGTCAAAGCTGAGGGGAAAGCTATCTTGATCACATTCCTTTGGTTGACCATTATATCATCCTTTGAGGCAGCAAGAAAATCAGCACTGCCATTTCAACACAACTATACATATTCTGTGTCTAGAGTATACTGATATCAAATGTAGAAAAAAGTAGAAAAAGTAGGAAAAAATGACATATACTGATTTAGTTTACTTTTACTTAGTTTAGGTCAAGCAACACCTATTGACAAACTATAAATAGTGAGAGACAGAATTATAATTTCCTTATCTAAAATTTCTCTCTACATTTTCCTTTTGCCCATATCCTCTCCAAAGAAAGATATGTTACTTTCTTTCTTCTCCTACTGGACAATATTTTATCGGTAATGTCAAGGGGTCTTGAAGTTTGATCCAAGTTAACTAAAACATTAAAGAATCATGATTTTGCTTCAAAATGCAACAGTTAAGGACATTTCTAGGCAACGGTTAGCAAATTTTCTGTGCATTATAATCAAGTTGAGGACAGGTTAAACACATATGGCTGGCTCCCATCTCCAGAGTTTCTGATTCAGTCCCCCCAAAATTAGCATGTCTGGCATGTTCTCAGGTAATGCTAAAACAGATGCTCCACAGACCACAAATTGCACCTGGAAATTTTACTGATTCTTTTCTGTATGGAGACCAGCAAATGTATTCTGTAAAGGGCAAATATTTGAGCCTTTGCTGGCCAAAATGCAAAATCAAGGATATTTTGTAGGAACTTGAATAGAAGAGAGAAAACTATTTTCCATAAATTTTAACTGACAAAAATTCAATAGATAGAATGATTGCGTATAATATTTTTAGGGGAATACAGATCTACTAATAAGGATTACATTAATTAAACATTTTGCTTAATTGATGTTAGAAGTTAGTAGTTCATATCATCAAATCAATTACAATATCATTGGTAAATACTAGCCTTTACACATAGGCCATACAAGGAGGAGGGCTCGGTTTGACCCATGGGCTGTAGTTTGCTAACCTTTGCAATACAGTAACATTAAAAAGAAAATCACAGAGTGATAAATAAGTAATTAAACATAAGCAGATACTTGGAGAATAAACTCCTCTACATTACAGGTTAGGGAAGCGAGATTCAAAGTAATAAAAAACCTTAAGGATTCTTTACAACAAATTTGTAACCTATAAAATAAAAACTAAAAGATAGGACTTCATCATCAAATGTAAGGAACTTGAATCAGTTAAAAAAAAAAAGAATTCAGGATCAGCTGACAGGAGGAAAATCAATACATCTCTGGCAAAATCTCATTTAACAGTTATTAACTGAGCATATACCAGAGATTTTTCAAGAGGTTGGTGGTATATAAGGGCACATATTAAGAAGTATAGGTCATGAACTGCAGTAAAAATCAAATAAAAAATTACTTAAACACTTGTATTTATGTACAGTACTTAAACAGTGCATACTTGGTAACATGACCAATCTGGAGACATATCCCCTAGATGAAGAACTCTTACTAAGAAATAGTTCTATGAGGTATTACATTCAGCATTCACAGAATCAGTTTCACTTACCATCAGAAAGGTCATACAAATGATACTCAAAGAAATCATTAATGGACATGATATCCCTGAAGTATCACAAAAGAGAATACTAAATTAGTATTCCTCTTAGCAGGAAATAGTCCACTGGCACTAAAGCAATAATAAACAAAAAGAACAGGTAAATTGATCTTTTTCTAACCATAAGCTATCACCATGGTTAAGTATATGTGCTAAAAATTATATCAAATTTTTCCAAATAACTAGAGTGTCCAGCAAGATTAAAATATAGATGACTGTTGATGAGTGGTAGTAATGGGATTAATCTAATGATCCTTTGATGCCTAGAATATTATCATTCAAGATACAAAGTAATTACTTCCACAATTTGGAAGTATAAATATTTATATAAACATGTCTATATTACCTCATGGAATTCTGACCTTATAGAACAGAATGCTTTTTTTTTTTTAAAGGGAAAAAAAATCTTCACACTAGAAAATTTCTTAGTAGAAAAGGATTAAAAGACATTCCTTCTCATATCATGTGTTTTTAAAATGAAGGAACAGAGAATTCTTACCTCTTGGGGCTTGCTAAGTATGAGAAAAGTTCAATTCTTTGTTAGTGATATCTTCAAAGAACTAGGAGTCAGAGAGAATACTGCACTTTCACAAAGACAATGCTATTTTTCTAGACATATCAGTCCAGAAACATTGTGTCTTAATGAAATGAGGTCATATTATGCATTGATATGTATCAATGTATGTATACAATATAACTTAAATATTTCAGGTAGAATAGCCTAAACCGTTTTAAGCACATGGGTGTAATGTAACAATAACAACTTTTGGTTAAACTAAATGCCACCTTCTAATCCCTGGCCCCCACAGCAGCACAATTTTTGGAAATACAAAAGCCACCTTCTCCTCAGTGAAGATCTGTAGGGTAAAATATAGTCTTCAGGGTGGCCAGGGGAGTCCTCATTTTTGCTACCACACGTGTGTCTTCATCTTTCCTAGGCTCACCGTGACACTTTCTGAGTTAGCCATGTGTGTATCAGCTGCATGAGCTGCTTTTGAAAACTGAAATTCTCTAACATCTCTCTCACATTGCCCTCTTAGACAAAACTAATCCTGCTAGATCTCATGGTGGACCTCAGAGATTGGTGTTCTGAGTAGTTGGTCAGGTTCACTCATCAGCTTACTGAGCTTCCCTCCATAAGACTCTACATTGCTTTCCCATTCCAATTCCTTCTCCAACAAAATTAAAGATTCTCTCAATAGGACACATTCTTTGGGAGAAGCTGATTGAGCTGGCTGAACATAGTCCTAAATTGCTGGAACAAGAACAGCTATTACTGAGCTTCACTGCGGAATTTTATTTGAATAAATGATTTCCTGGGCAAAAGAAGCTCTCTCTCTCTCTTAGACCTTATCATTTATCCCTTTGCAGAGCCATGAATAGTATTTCATTGCCCTACTGAGAGGGCTATTAAACTGTGTCATCTCAAATTGTCATCTTATAGGAACTGGTTAAATGCATACAAAAAGGTTAGTAGGTGAGCCAAGATTGGAAGGCTTCACATTTGAAAGAGAGAAAACATGCATTTTCTTTTAAGAAAGAATTAAAATTATTTTTTGGAGAGATTTTGATGTGGAATAAAGCAAGTACGAAGATAACCATGATTCTCGTAGTAAAACTGGCAGTAAAGTCCCATATATATAGGAGGAGGAAACAGAGCAATTCAGATGAGTAGCATTAATGTCTGGATGGCAACATAGCCATAATGACATTATAAGGACAATTAGAGTCTGATCCCTTGTTTAATGAATATGTTATCCATCTGAAATACAAAGAAAGTGGGCAATGAATAGACAGAATAGAAACTAAATTATTTTTATTTATATAAACAGTGGTACTGAGGATATAAAAGTTAATATTTCTGTTAAACATTGTGTTTTCTTTTTACCCACCCTTGAGTCAATAAGATGCATCTCTGTTCCAGCCTTCGATACTCAATTGTACTTCTGTTTTCCAGAGTTTATATGCAACACTGATTTCTCCATTTAATGCAGTATCCGTAATCATATTCATCATCATCACAAAATGTTTTACACATTCCTTTCACTCTTTCACATCTCTGAAATCTATACTTGGGCTTCAAGTCACTTCTGGCTGCAATCAAAAAAGACATGTAAAGCCATCAATCTAATTTTTTACTTGGGGGTCTTCTTACTTAGGGAAGGAGAAAATCTGTCCTAGTTACAAGATCATGTGTGTGGGTGATGGACAATCCGGTGTGTCAGGCAGTTTTATGACACAATTTAGCAGTTGGTACAGAAAGTGACCGAGCTACATTTTCCTTGCACAAATATGTATGTACTTATCTTACAATTCACATCGGTACTGAACTTTAGGTGGCTCCTGAAGGTTCTTGCCTTCCTATCTTCTTTTTTTACTTTATTAAGACCAGATTTACTCTCTCATGCTTTCATTAAGATGACATCTGTAGTTTTTTAAAAACCTATAATTTTTATTTTCAGGTGTTTTCAATTTTTTAAACTTAGTCTGATTACCTCTTCACAGTATTATTTGCTCAATGTTTTCTTCTCCATTCCAGATCTTACTCGTAATTGAAATTTTATTTTATTATATTAGAGCAAATGAATATGTCCTTTTCACCAGTCTACGGTAATAATGAATGAATAACATAACTTAGTACTTAATATATGTATTTTTCTTAAACATTTTTTATGATACTTTTATTCTTGTAGCCAAAATATAAACCTTATATGATAGTAATGATTTCTTCTGATTCTGTTATCTCCTACCCAGTATATCCTGATAATTATAGTACAGTAAGCATGAAAATACTGATAGAGTAATTTATTGAGGAAACAAAACCACGTAAGATATGCTCAGGAAACACAGTTTTGTTGTACATTAAGTATTTAGTAAAAAGAGGATCCCCATGCTAGTCTTCTAGTGAGTCATCTAACACAATGCAAAGAAGGATGGCCTGAGATTCCAAATTCATAGCTTTGGGTTCATATATTAAAATGGAAGCAAATATTTTGGTTACTTAGGATTTTATTTCTTTTAATGATTCAATTTTACTGCAACTAATGCCTTTAGAAAAGAGACTTGGAAGTCAGTCTTATTACCCCCACCCCAAATTTTATCATAGTATTTACTTATCTTGGATTCGTCATTCCATCTATCTGCATGATAGAATATAATAAGCATAGCTATCACAAATATATTTTGAATATTAAATTTTACACGTGTCAGGAAAAATAAAGCAAAATAATTTCATTAAAATTTAGAGAATAAATTGAATTGAATGTAGATTAAAATTACATGTTAACTCATAGAACCTAATTGCCTGCACAGAACCTAAATGAAATTCAGAATGGTGTTTCATTTCCAGGTGGCAGGTGTCTGAGTAACTGGTATTCTCTAAACATTTGGTTGAGAACTAGTCAGAAACTTCCAATGTAGAGAATGTAGAGAAGACTTCAAATGGACTAACTTTATTGTTGTTAATAAAGTTAGTAGAAAAGAAAAGGAAGTTAAGCATAAAATGAAAGAGATTGTCAGGAGGGTTTTGCCATGTAAATATATGTATGTCCTTTGGGAATGGGAAGGTAATTCACGATGACAGAATCCCTGCTCACCAGCAAATTTTGGTGAAAACTAATGAATTGTTGAACACTACATCAAAAACCAATGATGTACTATATGCTGGCTAACTGAGCAAAATAAAAATAAATAAATTATAAATTAATATTAATTAAAGATACTTGCATTAGCATCAAAAAATAAAGAAATCTAAAGTTATTTCAGAGCTATATCTGATATAATGAAAAGTAGAGAAATGTGATCCATGTTGCATTTTCCTTTTTTTTTTTTTTAAACTTTTGCTAGGATATGTACTTTTTAAGCTAGTCAATGTTCCTGAGACTCTAATATCTTGCCCACCCATAAAATCCAAGTTGACTTTTAAGATATGTTAAATTCAGAAAAGAGAAAATATGGATGTATAGTGACATTTACAACATTAAAATATACTAATGTTGTTTTTACTTATTATTTTAAAGAGTAAAAATGTTTTAAATCATGAAAAAATCTATAGAATTGTATGACCTGGAAATAAAAAGCTTGTAGTACAAAATTGATTCTATCACTCATAGTCATTTGCAAATAATATATCATTTTAGAGTCAGCTATGTCATGTGAAAATTGTAAAAGTTATAATGGGATAAAGTATGTAAATAGTGTTGTGAAAACTGGTTATGTTATAAACTGTACAATGTTATACAAATATCATCCATGAGTGCATATTTATGTGAGGTGATTGAAACTAGTTAATATAAACCACAAAAAAATAAAAATGAATGACTGTTTGGAGGAAGGATGCATAGCATCTCTTTTATCTATGAATACCTCTGCACATTTTACACATCACTGGAGAAATGGTCTATGATTACTGATTTTCATGAAAAGAGAGATATGTAAACACTAACTGAAGGACCTACAAGAGATATATATTTTAGACAGGTTTCTGAGAATCTGGACAAGAGTGAAGTGCTACAAATATGGTGTAGGTCTATTGTAGACAGCAACCTGTAACAAGCCCTGCATACACATGAATAGGGACAACTCTGTTAGGAAACAATTAAAAAAAAAAAAAAAAAAAAGCTCAGTGGCCTCCATGCAGTTGGTTAAATGTTAGTTTTCCCAAGCTCTGATGGGGGGAAGGGCGGTCCTCCTCCCAGGAAAAATGTCTGGCATATATTTCCCCATCTCGTAGCAAATAACTTCTCTGAAAATGACATTTCTGTTAACTTGTGATGCAAATAGAAAGGCTGACTTGAAAGGAGGAGGAGGTATTTTGGATGATGCCTACTCTTACTGGGTCCAAGTTGAAATCAAGGTAGGAGCAAGGCCATGGGTCAGTTGGCAGTTTCTATAGCATGTTTGAAAGGGTGTGATCTTTCAGAATCAGATAGTATGATGTTTCAAGCGTGCATACTGTGTTTATTAGGTTTGATATATTGGATAAATGATTTAGTCCACCCGATTTCAGTTTCCTCATGAAATTGAGGTTTTTGTAAAATTTTAAAATTATAATGAGATAAAATATGTAAACTTCTCTTATAATGTTAAAAAAATGAATAAGCCTTCAAAATCAGGTTACTCTCGCAGCCTTCGTTTTGACTTTCCATCTGGATTTATACTTAAAACTGACCCCAAATGAAGCAGTGTTATTAGCATGTATGGCTTGTTATAGTGAGAACACAAACCTCTAGTCTTAAAGCTACATTAGGTCAGGTCCACTGTTTGCTTTGTTCACTGATTTATTTCAGCATGTAGTAAGATGCCTGAAACGTACATGCTCAATAAATGTGTAAATGCCTGACAAAATGATTGAGTGAAAGAGTATGGTATCAGAGAGTGATATTTAATTGGTGTTTTATACTGGAAAACTCTCTGGACTTTACTACAATCTCTCCATCAGTTATGTCCTAAATGAGCAAATGACTTAACCCCTGTACTGATTTCTTCAACTGTAAATTGTGTTGAATCATGTCTACCTCAGAGGGTTATGTGGCAATCACATGAGATAACAGATAATAAAATGTCCTGTAGCCCACAATTAGTATAGTAGGTTTTATTATCATTAATATGAGTTGTTTATAGATTTGTGTCAGCTTTAAAAGAAAACCTTTATTAAATCACTGATTTTTCTTCACTTTCACTATTATATGAAGAGAATACCTTCTCTTGTGATTCATACACACACATTTAAGTAAGCAACTATTTGTACTTGGCCCTGTACTGGATGTAGATGCAAAAATGAATAAAATAATTAAGCTCATCACCCCCAAGAGTAAACCAATGTTTTTTGGGAAATGAGGGCATAGAAATGGTACAATTCACCTGTAAAGACAATCCTGAGAGATGAATAAAATGTTCTCAAAGCATAAAATAAAGAACCGTACACTGGAAAACTCTATTTTACTATTACTACTACCACAACCATTATTAAAAGCTATGCTCTAGGGATGCCTGGGTGGCTCAGTCAGTTAAGCGTCATGCTTTTGGCTCAGGTCATGATCTCAGGGTCCTGGGATTGAGTCCCACATCGGACTCCTTGCTCAGCAGAGAGCTTGCTTCTCCCTCTCTCCTGCTCATGTGCACACACACTCTCTTTCCCTCAAATAAATAAATAAAATCTTTCAAAAAAAAAAAAGGGCTATGCTTTATTAAGTGCCCATTAGGTTTCAGGTTCCTTACTAAGCAAGTAGTATTCGTTATCTAATTTAACGTTCTAATAACCTTCTCAGATAGGTATAACCATTCTCATTTCACTCATAAGAACAACTGAAGTAAAGAACTCTGCACAAGGTTTCAGAGGGAGTAGAAGGGGTTGGGCAGGCTTCAAAGTTAGTCATGTTGGACTCCAAACAATTGTATGTTCAACCATTTCACTGAAGGGGTGAGTTTTAGTTGCACCTTGAAAAGTCAATAGCATATTTTCTAGGAATTGAGGGGAAGCACTTTTAAGCCGTGTGTGTGTGTGTGTGTGTGTGTGTGTTTGGAATGAAGTGATATGGATATGGACACAGACTTCAGAAAACACAGGGAAGGTAAATTGGGCTCAGGTGTCAAAAGACCTCTATTGCTGAGGAGCTGAATATTCTCATAAATGGAGTGTGGTGAAACTATGGAAATGTTAAGTGCCATCTTCCCTTTAAGGAAGGGATTAGAGAAAATTTTGCAGGAGAGAGGCTACGTAAATGTTATTAGGACATTCTAAGTAAGAAATAATGAGAAAGATAATCAAGTTAATGGATTTCAAATAAAGAGGAGAAAGTGAGCTTGGGAGTTATTTGTGAATTAGAAGCAGCCCAATTTGGTAACTTTTGGATTTGGGAGAAGAGTACCAGGAAGCAGAGCAGTGATGAGTGTTTTAGCCCTTTCTGCTGTGCAGCTGATGTTAACAATCAGTAAAACAGAGAATAAAAGTGGCGGGGGCGGGCAGACTTTAGCCTTTGTGAGTAAGATGAACTCCTCTATTTTGGACATAGCAGGATTAAAGAATTTGGAAACCATCCAGATAAGTAAGTTCCATAATTAGAAATAAATACAGCTTTGTGGTTTGGGAAGATTTGAGAAAAAATATTTGTTGATAGTAGAAGTCACTACAGTGAACAAGATAATCTCAGGAAGGCATATAAAACAAGAAGAGAAGGGATTCAGGGACAAAGTACTAGAGGTCACTGCATTTTAAAGACCATCAAATAATTGTCAGACAACTGTCAAAACAGTGACAAATTCTAGCAGTGTGCCAAAGTCCACCAGATAAAGAGTTAAAATAGGACTTTGGGTTTGTTTTTAGGAAAACACTGATCACATTAGTAAGATTTTCAGTTAATTGACAGGTGGGTGAATGTATCAGTGAAGAGAGTGGAGACTATAAATCTAGGCTGTTTTTCAAGAAGTTTGGTGAAGAATAGAATGAAGCAGATTAGAAAGTAGCTTAAGGGAAAAAAAAAATCTCATGAAATCTGACTAATTTTACCTTTAACATACCCAGAATCCTACCATTCCTCAATGTTTTTATTGTTAGCACCCTGGACTGAACTACCATAATGTATTACTTATATTACATTAATATCTTCTAATTCCTGAAAGCATTTCAGAGAGTTTTTTTTTTTAAATGAAATTCAAATCATGTTTTTCCTCTGGTTAAAACCCACTGGATTTCTCTCAGAATAGAGGACAAGATCCCTTCTCATTCCTAAAAAATTCTGGATAATCTGCCAAAACATTTCCTTTCAGACAAGCTCACTCAGGACTCTCCTCCTGACTGTTCTCCAGCCCCCTTCACAGGCATTCCCCACAAGTTTCATGTGAGCTCCCAGGATGTTTCTTGGCCTCTGTCAATTTTTTGCTCAAGTGTTACCTTCTCAATAAGGGCCTCCTGAAAAATCCTATTTAAAATTTCATTTTTGGGTCCTTTAACTCTGATTTATCATCTTCTAACATAAATTTGCTTATTTATTATGTTTACTACTTGAATTTATCTCTACCTCTAGAATATGGGCTCCACAAAAATAAGAAATATTGTCTGTTTTGTTTATTGATGTGTCCCAATCTTATTACATTATGGCTTCACATAGTCACTTCTCAAGGAGAATTTAATGAATTGGTAAATAAATGAGAGGGGGGATGTGGAATGCAGTGTCTAACATATTGTCAGTGTTATGAATTGACATTGCTCTTGGGGGAAGATCCCATGTCTTACCCATTTGTTAGCTCTATCAAATTGAATAGTTACTTAAAACTCAGTTTGTAATCAATAAATATCAGTTCCTTCAGATAGGAGCTGTAATTTTTTATTTTCATATCCCCAACACATAACATCATACCTGGGAAGAAGCAAGACCATTAGTCAAATGTCTGAATAAATAAATTACTATTTTGGAATTAAATTTTGTTCTTGCCCAAGGACATTGACATAAAATAAACCCTGAAATGGAGTGGATTTGAGTGTGTGGTATCGTCTGCTCCTAGTCCCATGCTGGAATTTGATGGTGATAGACCATTTCAACAGAATGCTTTTAACTGATTCAGGTGTGTATTGAGCTATTCACAACAAAAATACCCAATGCTTGATGGTGTCTATTTCATCAGAGTTGCTGTTAATCCAGGCTCATAGAAAACTAAAACCGAAGGAAAATACACAGTGTCATGGAAATTTCAGTTCTGGACCAAAGGAGAGAAAAAATGTAAAACTTCCAGCTCTTTAGAGCTAACTACAGTTACCCTTGAAAAACGCAGGTCTTAGAGGCATTGACGGCCACTCCACTTCCCCACACAGTAGAAAATACACATATAATTTCTTACTCCCCCAAAACTTTACATATAGCCTACTGTTGACTGGAAGCCTTATGGATAATATAAAGTCAATTAACATATATTTTATATGCTATATGTATTATATACTGTATTCTTTTTTAAAAAATGATTTTATTTATTTATTTGACAGAGAGAGAGAGCACGCACAAGCAGGGAGAGTGGCAGGCAGAAAGAGAGGGAGAAGCAGGCTCCTGGAGGAGCAGGGAGCCTGATGCGGGGCTCTATCCCAGGACTCTGGGATCATGACCTGAGCCAAAGGCAGATGCTTAACCACTGAGCCACCCAGGCTCCCCTATATCCTGTATTCTTACAATAAAGTAAGCTAGAGAAAATAAAATGCTATTAAGAAAATCATAAGGAAGGGAAAATACATTTGTAATACTGTACTGTACCTAAAAAAACCCACATATAAATGGATTCATGCACTTCAAACCCATGTTGTTCCAGGGTCAACTGTAGTTTAATTTAAGACTATCTAGCTGTTCTATCAGTTAACCCAATGAAAGTTACAATGCATGAGCAAGAAAATTGACATAAATCTTCCCTTATGTATTTACCTTTTTTTTCTTTTTTTTTTTTGTTGTTAACAAATTCTGAGGTCAATATGAATTATTAGTGATACCCCTTTCTCTCCAAGGAAATAGGGTGCAGAACTCTATCAAAAGGACTTCTAGAATGTTAAGTCAAAATCACATACAGCACACAGTTAAAAGATTTCTTCAGGGAAGAATATTAATTTCAGAGTTGATGCCTATAGGTTTATATTCTCCTTCAAGTTTGTCAAATTTGTTCCTTGGGCTGAAGGAAGGCTGGTGGCTTGCATATATGCTGGACCACACAAGGAGAGACCAGCTCAGAAATGTAGATGGTTCTGATTTTCTCTGTCAAGCACTGAGGACGAGGGTCTACCAGGACAGATTAGTTCATATGCAGAGATGCCTTCGGTATCTTCCAGAAAACCTCTTACCAGCTACCATTTCTTGGTGGCCAATAAAAAACTCAATTCTTATTTGTTCCATATTAATAGTATAGTACGCTTCTCAATTCTACATTATAGGTCCTTGATATCTTAGGTAAGATAAAAGTCAAACATTTCATTTCTTCTCAACATGACTAATATATTTACTGTTCAAATGTTGGGCTAATTTTTTTCCAGGGACACCAATATATCATCTCTATCCCATATGTAATAAAATATGAAAATTTCAAATAGATAGTTTTCATAAGACACAGATAATGTGCTACCTGAAAACATTATTGATTTTTTTGTTTCCACCTTTTAATTCTTAAATTTCTGTGAGAATTAGTACTCAATTATAAGCCAGTGGTTCTAAATCAGGAGTAATTTTGCCTCCAAAGGGGATATATTTTTTAAAAAATTTTTAAAGATTTTTATTTATTTATTTATTTATTTGAAAAAGAGAGAGAGAAAGAGCATGAGCAGGAAGGAGGGGCAGAGGGGGAGGAAGAAGGAGTCTCTCCACTGAGCAGGGAGCCCAGCCAGTACTCTATCCCAAGACCCCAGATCATGACCTGAGCTGAAGGCAGACACTTAAAAAACTGAGCCACCCAGGTACCCTCCAAAGGGGATTTTTGACAACGTAGGTAGACATTTTTGATTGTCACAATTAGGGGAAGGGGTGTATTGGCATCTGGTGGGTCAAGGCTAGGAATGCTAAGAAACATCCTATTGCTAAAGATACAATGCTTAGGATAGCTGTCACAGCAAAGAATTGCCTGGATCAAAATTTCAATAGTTCTCAGGTTGAAAAATTCTGTTTAAATCAATACTGTAAAAATACTTTTGAAGATATTTATACTGCAAGGGAACACATTGAGAACTCGAGGTCTATTTTAAGTTATTAAAATATATGAAAGATAATGCACGTGAGGCTCCAATGTGTGCTTAGCAAGTAATTGCCTCATAATGGGAAGTCAAATTTTTTTTTAAAAAATAAAAAAGTAAACAGTCCCTTGTGATGGAAATATATCCAGAAACTTTATATAAATAGAGAAAAATTATTTCTTTCTCTTTGTGTGTCACCAAAATAGATAATGCTTAGTATGAACATGGACCCTTATATCTCACATCTACATTTAGAAGATGTAACGAGATGTCCTAATAAAAACATCAAGAGAGGTAGCAAATGGCAACTATACTTGTGGTAGGCACTTTGTAATGTATAGAATTTTCCAATCACTATATTGTACACCTGAAACTAATATAATATTGTATGTCAACTATACTTAAAAGTAAAAGAAAGGAAAGGAAGGGAAGAAGGAAGGAAGGTAGGAAGGAAGGAAGGAAGGTAAGAAGGAAGGAAGGGAGGAAGGAAGGAAGGAAGGAAGGAAGGAAGGAAGGAAGGAAGGAAGGAAAGAAGGAAGGAAAGAAGGAAGGAAGGAAGGAAGGAAGGAAAGGAGGAAGGAAAGAAGGAAGGAAAGAAAGAAAAAATATATCCAGAGGGTAACTGGGGTCTGGAAATTCTTTGACTTCTCATCTCCTCTGAGTCCAAGTCTGGCTCACATATATCCACTCAATAAATTTCATTTTTACTTGTTAAATTATCAAAAATATATTCCATTTTATTTGGGGGGAAGGCAAGTTTCTGTTTTACTGCTATGCTGTGCTATTGATGATGTTTTTTCAAAAATAATCCCAAATGAATGCCAATAACTGAGCTGTATTCCTAAGCTCATAAAAGAAGCAGAATGTGCATTTTCGAATAGCAACTGTATAATACAGATGTATTGTTGAGAGTGTTGTACAGTAAAATACTGTGGCCCCTCAGGAAATAGCAAGAGCAACTCAGGCAGAGTGGAGCTGAAGAGCGCAGGTTACTCCTCCTTTCTGTTGCTGTGTGTCTCTTCAGAAAGGATCATCTCAGGACTGAGGAGATGAACTCAGTTGTTAGCCATAATTTCTGTCTTTGTCAAAAAATTTAATTACATATAGTCTCTTCTTCTTCATGGAATTCTTCCCCTCCATATTTTCTCCCTCTTTTATTTCCTGATACACATTTTTTTCCCACTAAACAATAAATAAGGACAGAGACGCCAGGGTAGCGCAGTCAGTTAAGCATCCGACTCTTGGTTTCAGCTCAGGTCATGATCTCAGGGTCTTGAGACAAGCCCCTCATCCAGCTCCACGCTCAGTACAGAGTCTGAGATTCTCTCTCCCTTTCCCTCTGCTCATCCCACTGGTGCTCTCTCTCTTTCAAATAAATAAATATATCTTTTAAAAAATAATAAATAAGGACAGAAATTGGAACTGATTGTGATTACCTTTGTTCTTCTGTTCTTATATTAATCCTTCTCTTACTTCAGCTCTTTCTCTCGTGAGCAGGATCTGCACTCTCTATATATAGTCTCACAAACCCTGTGGTTATATATTTTCATGGCATAATCTATAGAGCAATGTTTAATGATAAAATGGCAGCACATTTCCATTGGAGGCTTGCATCTAAGAATGTTTCTCCCATTTCTTTGACTTCAGGATTCTTACACCATTACTTATGTCAACCAACACAAGCACATATAACTTTGAAGAGTTCTTGGGGAACTTGCATAAAATAAATCTGCTCACTGCTGGCACCAAGAGATCAAGAGAAAATGCAATGTAAAGGCACCAGATACATGTGTGACATAGAACCACTTCTGAATGGCTCAATATTAAATTTTATTTAATTCTTTGAGATACACAGGCCTTGAAGGATATTCTGAGAAGACTTAGTAACACTGGTCCTCTCTTCTTGGAGCATGTATCTCTTTCTTGTCTTCTGTAAGCTTTACTTCTGCAAGCAGCAATGAGTTCCAGGTCGTATGCAGAAAGCAATCCTAATTTCACTTTCATGGCACTCAACTCTACATCGGCCATTACCCTTTCTGCACTCTCTCCTCAAATCCAAGCTACCATATTGGGGATATTTCTTTTTGGCTGTAAGAAGGAAAGAATGACTGAAATTAGCAACTTAGCTGTGACACACCCATATTTTAAAAGGAGAAAGTCCAAGAAGTAAAAGATTTTCGTGTAGGTCAAAAAATATGTCCCCCTTCTAATTAATGACGGAAAATCCTATTGAGCCAAGTTTAAGTGAACGTACCTGAAAATCAGGAAAGTGTCTTGGACCTAAGTTAGGTCCAAGGGAAATCCTGAAAATCAGCAAGTGTCTTGGACCTGAGTTAGGTGTGCCAGCTTGCTTCCTTACAAGTGACTGTATAGTAACTCAAGGATAGTTCCCCAAATCAACAGTTCAAAAAGTGTTTATAATTGACCTCTCAGGCTTAGTCTCTACAATTATCCAATTGCATTTGAACTCTCTCTTTTCTGCTCTCACAAACATTATTTAGACAAAACGTTGTACTTTTTGGGTTCTTCAAGAGATTTCTACTGCAGCTTGATTTTACTTTTCCAAAATGTTGAGAGGCAATGTTAAGCAATTTGTCTGAATTCCTACAACTTCCCTGGGTATTTTGGGATTTACTTCCACAAAGAAATTATCTAACTTATACACATGTCTGATGACAGCGTTGATTTAAAAAATAGGAATGACTAGAGGGTGAGGCCATTTTTGCCATTACAAGATTGCTAACATTACCAGTGCTCTGAACTACATGTTTTATCTTGTAGCTTGGAGATTGACTTTCACTTAAAGTTTATATTTATGGTAGTTGGAGCTATTTGGGGAATTGGGAGATGTTGGTCTGATAGGTTGTAAGATTCATTCCAAGCCAAATATATTTTAACTTTATATTTCACAATATGTGCTGGCCCATGAGTTTTCAGAAACCCTATGTTTTCAAGTATTTTTTTTTATACACATCACTTTTGATAAGTAATCACCTTACTCATGTGGTGAGATTGAGGGGAACTGGTGTGGGAAAATTCTAAATATTGCCAATTGCTGACCAAAGGGCAGACTCAAATATTTTTGTATACTCGTGGTATGAAAGCAAATAAATTTTGCCACTAATTTCAACCATGAATTAGGTTTGGTGTTCTAATCAGTCCCTTTAAAGACCAGGCCTTTCTACCTACACATTCCGTCTGCATTTCCAAAAGTTTGGTGGTGAGTAGTGATACTTCTTAATGAATACCTAGACTCAAAGCTACATTATCTATATTATTGGTATAAATAGTTGATTTAAAACCTAACTCTTCTATTAAAATGACCTCTCTTCTAACTATAATTGAAGGAATGCAGAATATGACACAATTTACAGCAGAAAAAAATAGTTACTTTGCACAGATTAAATGTTAATTTCTAAATGTCATTTTTTATTGCATAACTTCTAAGGAATTGCTATTATCAAGCCCATGGATGATTTGCCAGTGACAGAAACCTGAATTATATTCACTTTAGACATGAGGACTGTCACACTTGTCACACCGTATTCCACCCTAAACTGACCTCACCCCTTCTCTTATTCATTGGTTGTCTTATTTCACCTTTCTAAAAATATTGTCTTCTTTCTTCTCATTTTGAGCTCTAAATATAAGTATTCCCCAAGCTTGTGTCTTTGGATTGCTGATATTCATCTTTGCAAGCCCCCCACCCACTCATTCCACTATTAGGCATACTCCCTGTGAAGCTCTAACTCAATCCCTAGTGCAGGGTTTCTCACCCTAAACACTATTGACCTTTTGAGTTGGACAATTCTTTGCTGTGGGATGCTATCCTGTTCACTGAAGAATGTTTAGCAGCATCCTTGGCTTCTATTCATTAGATACCAACAGTACCAGCTGTGACAATCTAAAAGTTCTCCAGACATTGCCTAATGTCTCCTTGGGGGTAAAGTTGCCTCTAATTGAAAATACTGTTTTCGGTGATTAAAATTACTGTTCTGGTGATGCCGTGATAAGCCAAACATATTGTTTTCAGCCTCAGATACATTGTTCAAATACTGTCTTTTCTCTGAAGTCTCTTCTGATCACTTTCAGGGAAGTAAGCTCTCTTTCCACTGCTTTCACAAAGCACTTCATATGTATCATTCAGACTGCATCTATTAACATGTTCACATGCTAGGGAATTTCTTTAAACAATATACAAAGTTTTACTTAATATATAAGCTAGAAATGGGCAAGATATTTCCTAAAATATATTTCAACCCACAATTTATTTTTATTTTCATTCACCTGCCATTTTGTTCTTTAGGCTACCATTGACCTCGTTGGAAACAGGGGGAAAATCATGACTGTTCTTTCAGCACAAAACCATACTATCCTGGGGCACCTTGGTGGCTCAGTCAGTTGGGTGTCTGCCTTCGCTCAGGTATGATCCTGGGATCCTGGGATCCTGAGATCAAGCCCCACGTTGGGTCCCCTGCTCAGTGAGGAGTCTGGTTCTCCCTCTCCCTCTGACCCTCTACCCTGCTCATGTTCTCACTCACACTCGCTCTCAAATGAATAAATAACAAATCTTTTTTTAAAAAACTATACTATTTTATATTCAAAGTACATGTTAGATTTAAAGAGAAGTGATTCTTGGCAATAACACATTTTTTTTTTTTTTTTAGTTTGGCAGATGAAGTAAAACAATACATGAGAATGAAACAATACCTCAGTTCTAGACATTTGGTGCATTTATAGCCTCTAAAAATGAAGAGGAAAGTTAAGTGACTTCAATGGAAATTTTCCAGTGTAGACAGTTGAATGGCTTTTATCTGGACATCTTTTCATCTGTAACTGTCTGAATGGAAAAAGAACGAGGTTTTCTACCTCAATTTTGAGTAAGGACTTTTATACTTTGCAAGTGAGATATAAAAAATAACTGAAGAAATCTAAAAGAACCATACATATGACATTTTATGAAATTTAAGTCAATAACCATACATTGGTGAACTGTAAGTTGAAAGACAATATCCTTATTGCTTTATTATTTTCTACAATGTCTATATTTCCTACCACATCTTTTCTAAATTTGTGGAAAAAATATGTATCTAGACATTTTTTTTTAATTTGAGATTCTTTTTTGTCAGTAATGGTAGTTCTCTAAAAGTTTGGTTGATGTGTGTTTAACAAGGACAGTGGCCTTACTTTGAAAATACAAGAAAAAATATACAAAAAGTTAGTAACACTGATGTTGTAACTTTTGCTACTGTATCCCCAACTGGTTTTTAATTTCTAAGTCTGCAGGACACATGATTTTTTAGTTTGTTGATAAATGCATGAATAGCTTTAATTATTGGTAGGAGCACCTGATATAGCTGTTACGAAGAAAAAAAATAAGTGACTAAAACAGAAAAATGCTTGATATAGTGATCTAGTCATGCTAGCTATTGTTGAAATTAAGAGAAGAAAAAGATTTATCACATGTTCAAAGCTATATGAATCTGTATAGAATTCCTTTTTGGCCCTTTCTAGAACTGGAAAAAAAAATTCAGAGATCCTTTTGAATTTTTGAATGGAGGGAATTTTTGAATGGAGAGAAAGGAAGTCATTCTCTTAGTTAGATGAGCAATTAATTGTATTTCTTTGTTACTTCAATGATGCTTGATCTGATCTCTATTTAGAATTTTATCCACTTGCAACTTTTAAATGATAATTTGGCAGTTTATTATGTAAGCATTGTATACATTTTTAGATTGCCTTGACTGACTCTATAATATTTACAATGAAAGAACAAGTTATTTACTCTCCTAGGCCTCTATTATAATTTCTATTGGGCCTAAAGAAATCAGTCAGGTACTAAAAAAGGAATATTTTCCTGAGAGGTAGAGAATTTGAGCCTAATTTTAGTGCCAATTAGGTAGACTTAAACTAATCCTTTCATCTTAATCTCTTTAAAAAGAAGGTAGTAGACTCAATGGTCTTTTCTTTTCCAAAATGTATTATTCTATTTCTGTACAATTCATACTTAAACATTAACTCAGGAGGAGAGAATCTTGTTACATACCTGATGTGAAAAGGTAGCCTTTGAGGGTGGGAAAAAAATCTCATGAAAAACATAGCTTGTGTACAAGGTATTACACTCAACATCCATGTGATCTGTAGCACTGAGAGAGAAAGGTAGTGACCAGAAATAGAGAAAGAAAGGCCAACAACAGACATGATTTGCCTATATACTGAGAACGGAATAGTAAGAAAGGCTTCTGCTCATTGGAGGTAGTATACGGGTATACGTTAAAAAGAACCAAAAAAAAAAGCAAAATAGATCTTTCTCTAATACTGAACCATTTATTCCTTATCAGCTGATTATGCTAAAGAACATTTTTTTCCAGTAAAAATAGATTCTAACAAATTGCTTCAGAATGAAGCTGATGAGACTAATGTATTGATCTAATTGGGTTTTTTTAATTATTATGTTATGTTAGTCACCATAGAGTACATCATTAGTTTCTGATGTAGTGTTCCATGATTCATTGCGTATAATACCCAGTGCTCCATGCAATACGTGCCCTCCTTGTTTTGAAATCAGTTTAGATATATAGAAGAGTTGCAAAGGTAATAGAGGTGAAACTCCCAATATGGTAACATCTCACGTAACCATGCTTACATTATCAAAACTAAGAAATAAACATTGGTATAATACTATCAACTAAACTGCAAATTTTATTCACATTTCACCAGTTTTCCCACTACTGTCTTTAAATTTTTTTTTTTCTATTCGGGGGTCCAAGCCAGAATACCACATTGCATTTAGTATAAAAATCTTTTAATCCCTATGTTATTACCATACTTTTAACAAGAAACAACTTATGTCTTCTCAAATTCATTAGCACAAATAAGCCCATAAACATTTTCATGTTACCTGGTAAAACTGTGACCCAAAAGAGCAGAATAAAGAAAAAGAGATGAATCTTCATGGTGGAGTTTCTTAGGAAAAAAAAAAAAAAAGTGTCACCAGATCTTTTTCAAGTCAGGGGTTTCCAAGGAAGAAAACAGAGAATCCTTTTATTTATAGCTTCTCCTGGGAAGTGATTTTAAATACTGAGCCTTATCAGTAGAGAGAACATTTGTATGCTTGGTTGAATTGTGCCATGCTCAAAGAACACAGTCACAAGAATTATTACTAAATTTTTCCCATAAAAGTAAAACCCACCTGTGTTACCTTAAATAGACTCTCCTGGAAATACAAACTTTAAGAGACTTGTAGAGGAAATGTGTTTGGATTGCTAAAACATCAGGGTGGAAATGTTATAGCAATACATTCCTCTATTATATGTTACATATGTTGCCAAATATTCTAATATTTTAGTATTAAATTACTGAACGTCTGGGCGCCTGGGTGGCTCAGTCGTTAAGCGTCTGCCTTCGGCTCAAGTCATGATCCCAGGGTCCTGGGATCAAGTCCCACATCGGGCTCCCTGCTCGGCGGGAAGCCTGCTTCTCCCTCTCCCACTACCCCTGCTTTTGTTCTCTCTCTCGCTGTGTCTCTCTCTGTCAAATAAATAAACAAAATCTTAAAAAAAAAAAGGGGGGGGAAGATGTTAGTGAGATAAATCTTAGCCTCTATCACTATTATTGATTGCTGGGTCTCAAATGGTACTTACCCTCTCCCTCCTCTACTGTCCATCCTAAATACCCTTCACCCTAGCTAGCACATCAGGAGGTTTGGTGGCTTTTCTGGAGATGTGATATAAGTCTTACTCCTTATAAGTTTGAACCCTTGATAATAATATATTTTAATTGATTGTTCCTGCACATATTTATAAACAATTATAATGGAGCAAGGAAATACCACAAGTGTTCTATATGTTCTGACTCTTCAGTTTTCTTGCATTTGTTCCAGATCACCCACAGGGACATCTGCTTTTGCTATGTAAAGGGTCTGAAATCACTTGAATCTAGAATCTTTCATTTGTTAACTTCAAAGTTGTTTCTGAAGACACCATGACAGGGTGGGTCTACTGAAAGATTGTTCTTAAAAGTTATGCATCCTCAAAATTTTTCGACTGCCTAGCGTTCAACATGATCTACTTGTAGCCACTAACTCCATGGTAGATGAAACTGGCTTTTGGAACTACACTGCCATAGAATAAACTCTCTGCGTGTGTGAATGAAGTTATCTAAGGAAGACGCAATGCAAATTTACCATGTACCTTCATGACAGTTATTTGGCATTGCTCAAGCTTTAATATTAAATTGTATTTCTTTATTCATTACAAAGATATAAGAGCAGATGTTCTCACCTCTGAATGATGCTAGGGAATGATCTCGTTCTAGCTTCATATATCTGTTTGTTCCATTCTGTCATCCATTGTTTATAATAGTCTTATATGATGGCATAGAAAATGTCACAGATCCAGGGCAGAAAGAAATATTTTCCTGTTCATTACAGATCATTTTTCCCTGCCCATTAAGTCTTTTGCAATTCACATCCACAGCCATATTGCTATGGTGGTTTTTTTCTAGTTTTGGCTATTAGAAAATAGGAATAAATGAAATCTGTAATCCAGCCATGGCACATGAAATGTCTTGAGCCCTGTGGATTTAGAGCAGGGGTCAGGAAACGGCTCTCAGGCCAAATTGGCCCATTGACTGTTTTTATAAATAAAGTTTTTGGAACACAGCCCCACCCATTTGTATATGTGTTGTCTAGGCTGCCTCTGTTCATGGCAAAGTGGATTGCAGCGGAGCTAGCTGTTGCCTGTAAAGCCCAAAATATTTACTATCTGAAATTTCACCTTTACAGAAAAAGTTCACCAACCCTTGATTTAGGCTTTTGCATTAATACTATATTTTCAGGAGAGAAAATGACAGACACCCCAAGATTACAACTTTGATTCTTATCTCTTCATCTCTACATCCTGAATTCCTCTTTCATCCTCCTCAATTATTATTAATTCAACAACTACTTGTTAAGAATCTACCAAATGTTAAGTTTGGCTTCAGGATCCATGGAAGACAAAAACAATAGGGTTCGTGCCCTTTGCTTCAGTATTATCCCTTCTCTGAAAGTTTTCCTGGAAGTTTCTCACAAACATGACTACCTCTTCCTTTGCCTTCCCTTAGCTCTTTATTTGTTTCACTCATTCTGCTTTTATATCATTGTATCTGTGTTAGGGTTCTTGGAAACAATATTCTAAGTCTTGAACAAAAAGAGGATCTGTAATGGGCGAAATTATCGCAATCTCTAATTTTGATTTTGTCACTCATCTGTATTTTCTCCTTCAGGTTTAATAATTATATCTTCCTTGAAATGGACCAGAAAATTGTGAAAATCTTTTCAACACAACACTAACTTGTCATGATAAGAAATATATATTAAAGTTATACAAAATTGTGATAGGCCTTTGGAAATTTTACAAGATGACAGGAGGTTGAAATTAAAACTTCAGGGGTGCCTGGGTGGCTCAGATGGTTAAGCGTCTGCCTTCGGCTCAGGTCATAATCCTAGGGTCCTGGGATCAAGTCCCGCATCGGGCTCCCTGCTCAGCGGGGAGCCTGCTTCTCCCTCTCCTGCTCCCCCTGCTTGTGCTTTCTCTCTCTCTGTCAAATAAGTAAAATCTTAAAAAAAAAAAAAAGAAATTAAAACTTCATTTCTACACATATTGGCACAAGACAAATATTTATGGTATTGATTTTATTTATTTTAGTTCCATCAACATGTCTTTATGAATCATAATGTGAAAGATGTTATTTTATTATATTTGCAAGCATTGTTTTCCTCTAGCTTATATATCACCTCTCCAAATTTTGTGGGGGAAATATGTGCCTCTACATATTACTTATACTACCAAAGACTGGATTTGATTATACAGAAAGTAAGAGCTTGCTAAATGATTGGAAAGATATCTTTAAAAAAATGTGCATGTTTTGAAATGAAGAGAAAGAGTAGTTAAAAAACTAATGGGAAGAATATTTTATTTTTTTTCCCTGTCCTTAAACAGAGTTTAAGGAGGCGTAAGCCTGCTGTATACATTTTTTTTTTAATCAACTAATGGACAACCTCCTAGAGCTCTTATAAAGATTAATAGAGTCAATTCAAATAAAACACTTAGCAAAAGATTCAATACATGTGAATGGAAACATCATCTATTTAGGCTATTCTTAATGAAAACCCCTATTAGTGATGGTGTAAACCCGAAGCTCAAGTGGTCATTGGACGCAGAGAGTTGAGACTGTTAGTACTGGCTTTTTGTTCATTAAACTCAAGTGATGCAGACACAAGACTTAGAGAAATAGAAGCATAGAAAAGCACTTACCCTGAGCACTCTTATTTAAACTCGTATTATTATTTATCCTGTAATTTAGTTCTCAGAGGTTCAAACAATCAAGCATGCCTGGAATCTTCTCAAAATTAGAAACTTAAGTTATGCTCACTTTATCAAACAGGGGCCCATCTTTTGGCAATTCTTTTTTTGTTTTGTTTTGTTTTGTTTTGAGAGAGAGAGAAGGGTCAGAGGGAGAGGGAGAGAGAGAATCCTAAGCAGGCTCCACACCCAGCACAGAGCCCCACATGGTGCTCGACCTCACGACTCTGAGATCATGACCTGAGCCAAAATCAAAAGTCTGCCTCTTAATGGACTGAGATACCTGGGTGCCCCTTCTGGCAATTCTTAATGTTTGATACTGTTTACTCACAAGTCCTCCTGGAAACAATCATACCCTTTGTATGGGTCCATGTTTGTTCCTGCTTCACTTCTCTAAGAATTCCTTACTTTGTAACTTTCCTTTTTCTGCTCCATAAATTGGGGATTCCTAAAGATTGTGTCTTCAGTTTTGCTTTTTTCTTCTATCCACATGTCCACCCAGTCATTCCATTAATATTTATTGGGTTTTTACTATTATATGTCACATACTCTTCTGTCCTCTAGGAAGATCAAATAACCAAACAGGTGCTTTTGCCTTCATGGAACTTGTTCAATACCAAATCTCACTCATCCTATGTCATGTCTTCCTTGAATACTTTTTAAAAAGTTATTATTTCTTCCTTTGACAGCAATAGTATTTATTTTGTTTTATTTCATTTCATTTCATTTTATTTTATGTATGTATGTATTACATATAAGCAACAGAAATTTATTTCTTAGAGTTCTGGAAGCTGAGAAGTACAAGATCAAGATGCTGGCAGATTTGGCATATGGTAAGGGTCTGCTTCCAGTGTCATAGATGGCTATCTTCTTGCTGTATCTTCCCATGGTAGAAACACAGAAGGAGCTCTGTAGGACCCCCTTTATAAGGGCACTAATCCTATTCATAGGGGTTTCCCCTTCTTTTTTTTTTAAGATTTTATTTATTTATTTGAGAGAGAGAATGAGACAGAGAGAGAGCATGAGAGGGGGGAGGGTCAGAGGGAGAAGCAGACTCCCTGCTGAGCAGGGAGCCCGATGTGGGACTCGATCCTGGGCCTCCAGGATCATGACCTGAGCTGAAGGCAGTTGCCCAACCAACTGAGCCACCCAGGCGCCCGAGGGGTTCCCCTTCTTGACCTAATCACCTCCCAAAGGCCCTACCTCCAAATACCATTACATTGGGGATTAGGTTTCAATATATAAATTTTGAGAGGAAACAAACATTCAGTCCATAGCAGGCACCACTGTGGTAGAAGGTGTTGGTGTCTACAGGGAATATGCCCTTATCCAGCCATTCTTAATTTGCATGCAGAGTCACCTCCAGGTGACATTAGCCTCAGGATGTCAGGTTAGATTTAGTTCAGATACTCACTCTTGCTGAGATAAAACAATCATCCTCCTTCTTATTTCCATGGGAGTATTTTAAGGGCTGGAAAGCATTTCCAGTAACTTCCTTAGAATACAAGCCATCTTGATATATATCTTCTTTCCTAGAAGACTCCTCACCTAGATGTCTCAGGATAGTTACAGTAGATCAGATGTCCTTCTGTCTCTCACTCTCTTTTTTC